GACTGGTACTTTCTAGACTTTCCCATGACTGCATAGTGACAACCCTACGACGCAGTGCAGTTGCACTGGGGTCCTACTATTTGCCCTTGCCACTTGTCCTCGTCTCCAACATGGGCTTGCTTTAGTCACACCACTTGACCACTTGCCAACCTTCTAGAAGGACTGCAGCTGGACTTCTACTCTACAGGTCTATGGATCAAATCCTGGCTACCTAAAGACCTACGACAGACCTACTTAGCACTGGCGGTTCTACAGGTCGCAGGTTCAATTCTTCAAGTTGTCACAGATATTGTACACAGGTAAGTTGGGGAACTAGGGATCGAACCCTGGGTCCTACATCAGCTACTTCGAACTGGTGAATACCGTTTCATGTATGTGTACACGCGCGCGCGCGCGCGCGCGAGAGAGAGAGAGAGAGAGAGAGAGAGAGAGAGAGAGAGAGAGAGAGAGAGAGAGAGAGAGAGAGAGAGAGAGCAATGTGCCCCTTTCACATAAATTAGAGGACCCCTGCAGAGAATCCGAGGGGTCCTTCCAGTTGCCAGTAATGTGAGCGAGAGCAATAGACAGAAATCCAAGCTGCAAAATCACAAAGTAGTCCAGATAGTCATGTACCAAGCAGAGTGCCCTTGCAAATGCTCAGGCAATGCACGGTAGAGAAGGTTGGACTAGCCGTGCTTCCGTAACTCCATGGCAAGGCGGAGCAATGAGCTCGTCCATAGCTGTTTTTAGTGCGTGAACACTCTTCCAAAGCCCCGTATGGATCATTTGGAGTTTGTCGGATGCCTTCAATCCTCATTGACATCCGCAAACCGTTCTCGCACTGCAGCGAGAAAATCGCTAAGGTTAGGAATGGTAGAATAAGCGACCATGCCATTTTCCCAATGGGCGGCTCGTGCGAGAGACCTGGCGAAACTAGTCGCTTCGCCACTCAAAGCCTGAAAGGCTATTAGGACATGGTCGTCGGGAGGCATGTTCTGTGGATACAGATACGATTTAATGCTAGCCTCCCACTTGTCAAAGTCCTCACCCCTTTTCCCACTGTAGGGTTGGGGGAAGCGAACTTCAACTCTCTCTCGGTGGGGTTGTGGCTCTTCTTCCTTGGGGATTGCCATCTTGACACCCTCGATCGCACCGGTACAAAACTTCTCTGTCTTACCGATTGCGATCCGCATCTTGTTGATGAGATGAATCATCGTCTCCTGGGCAAAGTTGTGGAATCCGGCTCATACGGATTCAAGTGCTACATCGTGCCCACAAAGGTGTCTTATATGTTCTCGCTGAGCTGCCAGAACAGAGGCCAAACCATGGGAGAGGGTGTCAATCTTTTTCCCAATTTCTTTTTCTACTCCAATCTGACCCAGCCGCACTTCTGCCACCTTCAATTCCTCCATCTTGTCTGTCATTTCTAATCGCCTCGTCTTCTCCTTCGCAAGGAGCAATTTCCATTCTAAGAGCCTCCCCTGCTTTCTCGCCTGACGACGCAGGGGGCTCCTCTCTCTTTCCAGCTCTTTTTCTACTGCTCCTCTTTCTACCTGGGGGGAAGCCAACTCTGCTTCCCTATCTTCTCCAAAGGATAGTCCTGCCACCCATTCCTTCACAACCTTCTCCACCTCTTCCGGTGGGGCTAGGCCTGTACTCGTTTCTCCTCTTTTCTCCTTCCTTTCTTCTGGGCCCCTTACTGCTTGTTTCTCTTTTCCTCTCTGCACCGGGGTCCCCTCTTCTTCGCTTTCTTCCTCCTCTTCTTCTTCTTCGGCCAATTCTTTGGCCAACTTCGCCTCCTGTTCCTTCTTCCATGCCTCCCATCTCCTCCTCCATTTTTTTCTTCTTGCCCGCTTCTTCTTCCAGCAAGGCCAGGCTTCTCCAAAGCTTTCTTCTCCTTTCTCTCCTTCTGCTCCCTGAGAATTGCGACAACCTTCTCCTCCTGTCCTTTACTATACGGACGGGTCTGGAGTCCTGACTGGGTAGTCACAACACAGTGAATGGTCCTCCAGAACCCCAATGGGAAGAGGAAATGGATCAAGGGATCCCGAAGGGAGAGGCCAATGATGAAGGCGCACATTGGGTAGTCGTCCATGCCGCATGGGGGCACAATCACAGGCGATTCCGCTCCTCAACACTTAACCCTTGACAACTTGGACACTGACCGCACTATAGGACGACAAAGGTTCTCTCTTCCACCTTAGCCAGGCTACCACTGCCGTCAGATACTTTCGCAACCACAGTCCAATCTTTCCACACCCGTCGGATGCCCGTGCACCCACAGTTCGAGCCCGCCTGGCTTTGGCTTCCGATTGTCCGTCTGTCAACTACTTGATGCTACACTATTACTACCGCCTAGTCTGTCACAACAGAACTACTGGCTGATCAGGAGGCGTTTAAGGAGATCCCCCATAACTCCCCAAGAATTATTTAACGTTGCAGACAGGACGACGATCGCAGCGAGAGTTCTCTCAAGACTTAGACTGGATGTGCGACTTGCGGCTCGGAGTTCAGGTATAGTGTACCACCCAGAGCGGCCTGCCGGTCTGTACCGGTCCTTGGGGGCTTTTCCCCAGGTGGTCCAGCATCAGATACACCTCACCCCTACTAAGTCCCTTGGAGACGTCGGCCCCTCAGCCTCTATCCGACCGCATACATGTAACCTACGACAACCCGGACAGGAGTGAGTCAATGCAGAAAGAGATGACAGACAACCTGCAAGACAGACTCGACTGCAGCAAGTACCAAGGTGAGTGTGCACCATCCATAGAAGCATAAAAAGACATAAAAAGACAAGGGCTAAGGCTTGAAGAGATTGTACCGCTCCTCGCTCCGCACTCCAAGCTTGGTCAATGGTCAATACTGGTCAACTGTACCGGTCAACACTCCGGTCAATCCTTTGACCACCCGGCTATGGTGCCTTCCTCTCTCTTCGTCACCTTTGTCCACTTCGCCTGCTTCTTCTTCGTCTTCAAGCTCGGCTATGGCCGACTTCTTCTTCGTCGTCGTCAGCTATGGCTGCTGTCACCTTCTTTTTTGTCACCTCTCTCTTCTCTGACCTTCTCCTTCATCACTAGTCTTCTCTCCCGTCCTTCGCTATGGTTGTGCAGATAACGGGAACCAGCTCCAATACCACTGCATTCAGACTCGTCTTAATTTCACGTCCAACATGCATACAAGCAGATGCCGATGGCAAAACGACTTCCTCAAAGCAGAATCAGCAACAAGCTTGAGATGGCGCAGCGCGCCCACACAACAAACTCAGGGATATGGCCTTCGGCCAGGAACTCGGCTCAAGAAAACTTGTCACATCTTGCGGCTATGGCGTCTGAGCATACAAATGAGCATCATTACGAGAACAGACAAAATATAAGTTGACGATCTGAGAAGAAATGAACAGGAATATAGTATATACCTCCACCTTTGCTTTGCCTCCTTTCGTACTGTGCAAGTGGGCCGTTATGGCACACGGGGATGTGGGCAGCTCGCTCTCAACCACAATCAATCTGGCGAGCCTTGTGCATGAGAGGCGCGGTAAAGGGGGAGCTGCAAGAACAAGTGAAAGGGGTACCCCGAAGAAAGCAAATGTGAACACATTCAAGAAAGGGGTTTTCATGCTGCTATTTGTACTTCATGTTGATTGCTATAGAGGTAAAACTGTTTCATTGTTGGGTTGTCTGAACTCAAGGGCTTTCGTTGTCTGTAACAGGATTGAATATGCTTTGATTTTCAATCTGCTCATCTGAGTGGAATAGGGGCTGTTGTGGTGAAAATTCAAAACACACACACACACACAAACACACTCTCACTCTCGCACTCTTTCTCTCTCTCATAAAAAAAAAAACTTACTAGTAAGCAAGTTGATTCAAGCTGCTTGCGATATTTATTTCCTTACATAATGTTCTATCAACTTCGATGTGTAACGTAAAACATTCCTCCAGATACCAGCTGTTTGAAGAGGCGGGTACAGATTTAGGGCAGAAACTGACTCAGAAGAACCAGATCAAAGGCAAGAAGATGATAGCCACCGATGTGGCCAAGGCTATTGCAAGAATCTCTGGAGGTCTATACATTGTCACAACTGTCAAGGGGGATTCTAAAGGAGCCATGGTTGCCTCCTGGGTCTCTCAGGTAAGTCTATGCATGTGCGCCATCTCTTGCATCTTTCCTATTTTTGGTAGTGGATGGTGTACATTGAGAAATCATTGATGGGAAAAAGAAAAGTTGTTGAAAGATCCAATTGCCGTAAATATTAAATAAACAATTATATATGAAATTATGAATGAACGGTTCCATCGAAATAATTCGAAAACGTGCCTGAAATGAAAAAGAATGAATGATGAAACTGGAAACTGGGTCCAACGTCCCTGACATGATATGATAATACAAATTGGACGCCGTTTTGTAGATGAACAGAGGATCAACGCTGCAATTGTAGCGATGATGTGAGATATGACTAGTAGGTGGAGTTCGAGGTGACCGTGATGTGGCAGGCGGGTAGTCGATGGATGAGATGGGCAGGCACAGACGGAGCGGGAGTGGGTAGAAAGGCAACCAAAAAAAAAAAAAAAAAAGCACGCAACAACTAACATGCCAGAACCCGTGGGTAGGGAGGCTACATAGTACACACAGACGGAGGAGGGGGTTCTTTTCCAAAGGGGAAAATGTCAAGCAAGAAGTAGAGGGGGTTCTTTTCCAAAGGGGAAAATGACGAAGAAGAAGGGAGGGATGGAGGAATGGTGGGAGGGAGGGAGGGAGGGAGGGAGGGAGGGCAGGAGGGAGGGTTCTTTACCACTGAACAAAGATCGGAATCGTCCATGTCGGGTGCTACCGGCTTCACACAAACAGGACGCTCGTCCATTAAAGCTGTATTGGGGGCAACTTTGAGTCTAGTTAGAGCGATATGACGGGGCGTTCTATCCGGGTGAAGACGGTAGCTGTATGGACGAAGCTCATGGAGAGGAAGAGCCTCTATTGGAAATGTAAAGGGTAGCAAGGATAAGGATGCCAGGCAGCCGGTAGAGGGTTATCATGAAGCAAGCAAACAGCAAAAAAAGGATGACAACCAACGGGGAGAGGGGAAAGGGACACCTTCCTTCACACATGAACCTATTAAGACGAAAATTGAGGGCATACTTACATTAGGACCTTTTTTTTTTACTTATTTATGGAGGTAATTGCGGTCAGATGCATCCACGTCTTGCCGTAAATGGAAATCACATACATTTAAGATAGAGCTAGTGTTCTGGCCCTTCGAATTGTGAAAAAAAAAAACGAAAAAAGATAGAGCTAGTGTGAGTACGCCCTGAGAAATTCAATAAGTGGTGAAAAGGAAAAGATTCGCTTGTGAGTCCGGAGACGGTAGTTGAAACAGGGCTGAAAACTCAATTCCTTTGTTTGAAACATGAACTGGAGGAAGAAAGGAACAATGAAAAATGAAGTCTGATGAACTCAATTTTGCAGTGGACTATCAAGCTGACAGGCAGGATATGAGTTCTGCAGATTCTGCTGCGTGAATGAACTTGCGTTTTTTTTTTTCCCCACCACAGATGTGAATTGGAACAATCCTTCCGGTGTTTATGGGCCTCAAGACATGGCGGACAAAAGTGAAAAACGGAAAAGAGTGCATCTTCCCTCAGAAAACTTATGTGGGTACCTGCACTCGTTGTTTTTTCCCCCTTCCGTTTCGTGTGCCATGCAGCAAGGCCCTGTGTCTATGGCGGAAGCAAAAGCAGAAGCATGAATGTCACAGGAAACGGAAGTATCAATGAAGCATGTCTATGGTGTTTAGGAGTTAAGGACATTAACCAGATGTCAGAAAAAGAAAGGGGTTTTCTGTTTTTGCGGTCCTTACGATTAACGGCAGAAATGACAGAAATGACAACGGCTGAGAAAGTCCTTCGGGACATCCATTAAAAGGATTGGAACGATACAGAGAAGGGCAAATTAGCAGAATGGCCCCTGCGCAAGAGGATGACATACATAAATCGAAAAATGGTCCAAAATTTTGGACTGTAAAAGAAGACAATGGCTGAGAAACAGGGTGTTGAAATCTCCACCATTTCAGTTTGGCCAAAATATTTCAGGCATGAAAATGGTGGTCGTGCATGCTGTCATTGTCTGAGGGGTGCTCACACAAAGGACTCTCTAAACTGCTCTCTGGACGTAATCGTGGTCAGATGCATTCAAGAGGAGCTGCAATTGTGGTTAGATTGATCTAGGAAAGCCCTTGTACGAGTATGCCCTCACTCAGCTATCGTCCTTTTTTTTTTTTTTTTTTTTTTTTTTTTTTTACCTCATAACAGATAGGAGTAATGATAAGAGCATACACCCCTACCTGTCACATATGGGGCTCCAGTCTATTGGTGGGGAGCATCACCTGCTGAAAAACGGGTCCAGCGTCCCGTGAAATACAATCATCGAGTCCAATAGTAAGCATCCGCGGAGCATCAAGAATGGACTGCCTCTTCAGCCAGTTTTCTGACCGCCTGATGAAAAGACTATATCTAGCAGTTTCCCATTCAAATATCAATAATACAGCCTCCTGGTAGATCCTCAATCGCACCCCACCAAGTATTCCTACTGTCTCTCATCCTCACCCCCCCCAAACCATTGAAGGTCCACTAATGCAAGCTCAGGTTGGATCCGGTTGGATAGAGGAAACTCAGATGCTCTCAAGGTAGCTCCCGGTTGGATGTCAAACCAGTCTTGAACACTCTTTCTCATCTGTCCCATGACATACCAATGATACCATTGATTTTTGCATGTTTGCCCGCCTTAGTCATGTTATCATCTCTTGTGCATCGGGCTAAGAGAGGAGAAAGAAGTGTGCGGAAGGGGAGGGGGGGGGGGGGGGGGGGGGGGAGAGAGAGAGAGAGAGAGAGAGAGAGAGAGAGAGAGAGAGAGAGAGAGCTGGTTACGCGGAATTTAATCTGTGATACAAATAGAGGGGCGGAGAGAGAGAGAGAGAGAGAGAGAGAGAGAGAGAGAGAGAGAGAGAGAGAGAGAGAGAGAGAGAGAGAGAGATGTTTACTCGGATTTTGATCTGTGAATACCTACTGTCAACTGAACAGCCCTGTCGCCTTCTAATTATCGAGGGAGGACGATCTTGCGGTTATGGATTCGCCGATGCTTCATGTCTGGTTTCCCTGCTGGCACTGCTTCAGTTTTCTGAGGTGTTTGATGAGTCCTTCGCCAGCACTTTGTCAGTGCTTTGCAAACATTCGCAGAGCCGGTCTTTTTTTTTTGTCTTTTCTGCACTCCGGCCCTCCGCACACCACAGATCAAGCCTGTAAAAATGACATCTGAGCTTATTAGAAACTGCTGCACTGCTTTTATTGCCTTTTCAAACTTGCTGTTTTAGTGACCTGCCGCTACCAGTTCTTTGTGGCTACAGGCGTAGTTGGCTCAAAAACAAAAACAAGAAATTGTTTCCTCCGTTTTGCTGTGCAGGACTTACCTGGAGACTTTGTCGTCGCTTTTTTGAAGTTTTTT